CGGTTCTCCGGTGTGAGAACTTGGGGGAGCTGCTCAGCCCCAGCCTGGTGCAGGGCTCAGTGAAAGTTGTTTATCCTGTGAGGCCACTGTGAGGCTCAGTGTGGGTTGTTTATCCTGTGAGGCCGCAGGAGGAACAACAACAGTAGCAGCAGCCAGCTCTCCACCTGAGTCAGCTCCTGCAGTAACTACCGCAGCTCTCTGGCCGCAGGGGCCTGGATGCTCCGGGGGCGGGGCGCTGATCTGCTCAGCTCGGGGCCGCCTCGCGGCAGGAGCATCCTTGCTGTCCTGTGACCTCCCAGCCTCCGCCTGGCCTGGGGGGAGGCCGGATCCTGGGCTGTGTCCCTGTGCCCTGGGCTCCGGCGCCTGCGCTGTGGGATTCGCGCTTCCGCCGCGCAGCCCCCTCCGCGGAGCTGCCGCCCGAGCCCCTCCGAGCTGCTCCTGGGTCCAGCCGAGCACACGCTGCAGCCCTTTAGGGAGCTCGGCCGGGGGTGTGGCGCGCTCTCCCCGGGGCGCAGGTGCCTGTTAGTGTCCCAGGGAGCCTGAGGGCATCCCCGCCCTCCTGGGGTCCTGCTCCAACTCCCTGCGAGCGCCTTTCCATCCGGGAAGATTGGTGCAGCTCCTGCTTCTCCGGGACGGGGCTCTCCTGTCCTGGGGGCACTGCCCCGGCCTTAGCCCGGCTCCTCACGGGGCCCCTCCCCCTTGGAGGCCTTTTGTTTCTTTAATTCTTTTCTTTTTTTAAAAAAATTTTTTATTTATTTATGATAGTCACAGAGAGAGAGAGGCAGAGACACAGGCAGAGGGAGAAGCAGGCTCCATGCACCGGGAGCCTGACGTGGGACTGGATCCCGGGTCTCCAGGATCGCGCCCTGGGCCAAAGGCAGGCGCCAAACCACTACGCCACCCAGGGATCCCTCTTTAATTCTTTTCCCCGTCTTCCTACCTTGAAAGAAGCGCGAACTCTTCTCACTGTAGCATTCCAGCTGTTCTCTCTTTAAATCTCAAGCCGAATTCGTAGGTTTTCAGGATGATTTGAAGGTTATCTAGGTAATTTGGTGGGGACAGGTGACTTGGGGACCCTACTCTTCCACCATCTTGCCCCGGCTCCAGTTTCTTCTTTTGTAAAATGAGACACTACTACTCCTCCATAGGTTTGCTTTGAGAATTCATATGTATTAAGTGCTTAGAGCAGTGCCTAGTATAATGTAAATATTAGCTACAAATATTAACATACTATATGCTTTATAAACATGTAATGTAATATATTAAGACCGGATATCTAAATATTTTAAAATACACTAATGTCACAAAACATTCGTGCTCTTAGAAGTAGAATTTTATCTTCTTATTCTCCATGTTTGCTTTTAAATATTTTGCTTGTTGTGAAGAATGTCTTTACTAGTATTAAGGACAAGTTTGTAAACCCATATTTCAATATCCTCTTGTGTAGTAAAAAATAAGTTACGATAGATAGCTTCTTGGTACATACCATTAGATCATCATTATTTTACCTTTTACTGTGGCTGACTATAAGTTCATACTAGGAACAAGAATGGTAAGCTTTCCTTTTGTTCTCCTGGGCTTGCATTTTTAAGGTTGTATCTTTTGAAGACTTTTGCAGGAATAATTTAAGACCAAGTGAGCATTTCATTAGATTAGATAATGTGAATGAATTTATCTGAAATCCATTTATCAGGTAACAGGAAAACTGAATAATTCTGTTTCTCTTCATTGCTCACATATTTCTAGTGTCAGATGCCATAGGATATTTTGTATCATTACTTACTTTTGTGTCTTGCATTTTTTGTGCCTTGCATTTTTGTGCCTCCATGACAGGTGAGTTGGAGCAGATTAGTTCCTAAACACATTATTTTTACACTGAGATAGTTAACAAGTATTTAACTATACATGAGGGCAACTGCAAACTGCATGAATATAGCCCACCAGACCAACACTAAAGGGATTCCCAAGGGCAAATCCTTCTAGCCAGATCCTCAAAATTCCCACGGCCAAGCCAACACTACCTACCGTGAAGAGAAATATGATGGAAGGGAGTGTGTGTGGAATGAAATAGGAGTCTTATCTGGTTGCAGTTAAATTATCAAAAGCATATACCATGTAAATACGTTTCTAGAGTCCCTGCAAGGACTTAAAAGAGGCCCATGTGCAAGATTTACTAGTGTTATAGTAAATATATTTTGGGGTAGAAGACTTTATAAATAACAATTTGATAAGTCCAGGTGCAAAATCCAGATTAATTTAAATGGCCCCAGTGTGTGATTTCCTGAAGATAAAGGCCAGGATGGTTTAATTTGTCCTTCATGTGATAGGAACAGTACACATTCTGGTGGATACTTAGCAATTACTTACCTAATATTATTATTTTAATCAGTTTATTCTATTTCTTGATCTTAAAGTCAAATACTTGTACATTTTGTTGTCAAATAGCACATTCTGTTATAGAAGTAAAAGGAAAATTTGTGATTTTTTACTGCCAGAATAGATTTTTTTTCCAGTTTGGACTCCCATTCATGTATTCTTATTTGTATTAGGCACTAGAAGCTCTTCATGGTTTTCTGCTGAATGAATTATATTAACACTGAGCCATGAATGTCAGCTGTATATTTCTATGTTTAACTGTAGATGAAACAGTTCAGCAGTATTGTTAGAATATTTTGTGGAAGAATTTAAAAGCTAAATTTAAGATCTTTTTACTGTTGTTGTTCTACGAACTTTGATTTTGGAAAGTGCTCAAGAATCCTTAAATTTCTTCTCCAAATCTCATTTGAGATTATAGCTCATTAGAAGTTTAAAGTCTGAGAAAGTCACAAAGTATACTAATAAAATTTATAAAATATTTATTTGGCTAGGAATAATTTTAACTTGTTAATACCTGATATTATTTCTAACTTTTCTTTTCCTTCCTTCCTTCCTTCCTTCCTTCCTTCCTTCCTTCCTTCCTTCCTTCCTTCCTCCTTCCATCCTTCCTCTTTCTGTTTTATTCTATTTCTTTTCTTTCCAGAAAATATCAGCTATCAAACAGATATTAGCCTGTCATTGACCTCTGCCAATTCCTTGCTCCTAAAGAAGTTTCTTCTAATATGGAAAAATCATACTCCCTTGATTTGTTATAAACGAATGCTTCAACCTTTTATAAAATGATGGGTTCAGTACATGTATTTGAGCAGTCACACATACTAAATGATTATGGATATGTTATATATTAAAAAAGCTGTTATTACCAAAGGTCTAGAAAGACATTTGAATTGAGAAGTATCTGATACTTGTATTACTTTACTGGGGGTCCTATTCATAAAAATAATTGATGTACCTGATATAGTATTTCGGATGAATCAAGAATCTTTAAATGGTTTTCAAAAAAATAATGAAGGGACAAATGTCAAAGATCTAATGAGCAAATTGTTCTTGTCTCCTTCTGGGGTAAATCTTAGGTCAGTTATGCAGACTTTTCTAGGAATTAGGAAGGAATCATTTCTTTCTCAGATCAGGATGTCAGCTTTGTCAGAGAACACCTCACATGTATGAGACCTCTTTGAACTTTCCTGATTATGCAGGGACTTCAGAGATTTTTGTTTAATATGTAACAAATAGTAACTTAATTATAACACTCCTGAGAATCTATTTGAATCCACCCATCACTCACCAAATTCCAAGGAAGCTTTATAGTCTTGTTTGAAAAACTTTTCAACCCTGAAAGGTCAAGGTTGACCATGTTCCTGCTTCATATCATAGGAACCCTGTATAGGAATTAATTCTATAGAACAAAATTCCTCAAAGCACTTACATTTAGCCCATAATGCCAAGGAGGTTGTTACCACTGATGGTATGGTAGTAGGTAATTAAAACAGGAAAGTTGGTTGAGTGGATTTTTTTTTTTCATATCACCAAAGTCAGATGCTGTATTTTCTCATGGGAAATTTCTTTAAAAACATTTCTGCTCTGGGAATGGTTTTGGAATTCACACACCAAGTTTAATACAGAATGTCTTGGACAGTATTAAAGTTATTTTTAACACATGACAGAAGTCATGCTGTGGGAATTCTGAAATGTGAAATAATAATTCTCTCTGCAATCATATCTTAGATAGTAAAAATAGGTAATGTCCATTCCTTGTATCCAATCTTGATTTTTCACAAATCTAAAAATAGCAATTCTATCTTGAGAAATACAAATTCAGCATCAACATTTACTACAATGAATGAGATTTGATACAAGAAGGGTTTGATATAAGTAAATTAGATGGAATTAGATCTCAGGGAGAAAAATAAATTCAGCATTCTCCTTTTTCTTCATTTCTCATTACCCAACCCCCAATTACCTAAGAGTGAAAGGAAATGACTTAAACATTTAGCCAGTGTTTTGCAAATGCCAAAATATCAACAGAAGCCAGTATCCACTCTTTTGAAAAATAGCAAATTTGTTACTTATTTTCTGGTTTAACAGGAAGCACATATTTATGATACACAATTTGTTTATGGTAGACAACTAAAGAATATAAAAATATCCCATTTAAATCACCAGCCAAAGAAAACTTCTTTTAATGTATTGATGTTTCACTTAGCAGACATTTGTGTGTGTGAGCATATGAAAAGATTGGTACTTTGCAGATACTTGCATGTGCATGCATTTGAGAATGTTGCTGTTTAAAAGAATTGGTTCATATTCTTTTTGTAATATTATTTTTTCACTTAATTTCAGGATTTCAGATATTTTTGTCTGTATTGCTCACTGACATATCCCAGTGCCTGACACGTAACCATCAATAATTATTTGTTGAACTCATCAGTACAGTGGTACGGTATGGTTCTTAGTCATGTGTCAGTAAATATTCTTTGAAAAGATCATATTTAATGGCTGCATGACAGTGAATTGTAACTTAAGTAGCAACCATACTATTGCCGGGAATTTAGATTTTTTCAAATATTTGATGTATAAAATGATCAGAATGCCTTTTGTTCATGACTTCTTTTTTTATAGGAAAATAATGCATTTTATATAAATTATAGAGGACAGTTACAAAGAAAATCCATTACCTTCCTCTCTGACTCAATTTTACAAAATAAAATCAACACATATTATTCTGTGAATTGCTAAGAGTACGTGAACAACTGTGGCCCTTTCAAAAGACAGTAGTCAAACTGTTATCTTGATGTCATATATTGTTCTTAGTTCTTAACTGGAGTTGAGCTTCCTTTCATAGTCTTCTTTAGGTGGTGGTAGTTTGGCAAGATTTTCATCAGGAAATCCAGCTGTAGTGTCTGGGGCTGTGGTCGCTCAGTCTGTACCCGACGAAGGCAGTCTGCACCATAAATCACTGTATTCTCAGGGATGACCTCAAATGTATTCAGGCTGCAGCAAGCCCCAATGATGCAACCACTTGTCAGTATTACATTTCTGCCCACATATGCTTTTGATTCAATAACATTATTATCTCCCATTTTCATGGCTTGGGAATAACAGCCAACTTCAAACACATTATTGGTGCCAATGATCATAGGTTTTGGTTCTGGATCCTCAGCATCAGGGGTGATATTATCAGGGTGAGCATTTATGATAAGTGCCTGTTCTTCTATGAGGATACCCTCACCAATCACTATCGACCCGGCTTCTGCAATAATTCGTGCTTTAGGGTGTATTACCGTCCTAGGTCCTATGGTTACATCTCCTCGAATTTCACTTTCTACACACACAACTGCTCCAGGAGCAATCTTCACACTCTTTTGAGCCTTCTCCGCCATGGTTTGGACCCCGTCTCCCATGACTTCTTTTCTTGTAAAACTTTAATTTGAAATAAATTAAAAAACTGGAATTTATTTGAAATTCTTTATTTTAAGAAGTCTTCTATAAAAATTGACTCATACCACTCTTTCATGGAAATAGTATTTTCTGTTTCCTTCGATGGATCTTCCCTCTGATATTCTCATCCAGAGGATATTGGAGGGATTGACCCCAGTTTATGAAGCACTCCTTCTGGGCCAGAGTGAAGGACTCAGGAATGGACACATAATATAGGCCATGGAGTTGAGAAGTACTTACATTTTCAGAACTATTGGAAAAATCATTTCCTTGATGGAAAGGAGGAAGAATACAGCTATGGAGATTGTTGTGTAAGGGGAGTCAACTTTAGAGTAAAGCTAACACCACAGAAAGCAAAGATGAGGCAGAAAGAATCTGGATTTTGGCAAGCTGGGTCTAGTTCTCACTTAAAACGTGGCCTACCTAGAAACTTTCCAGCTACCTGAACTGACAAATTCTCTCCTATCTCAGTATGAGGTAAGTTTTCTATTGGCTCTAATAGAAAGATCCTGATGCAATGAATATTCCTCACAGTATATAAAGGGATAATTTCCCCCGAATCCACTCAACAATGGTTGTCATTATAAATTGGCTGATTTCAGTGGAAGCACATTATATCTCATGTTTATTTGTGTTTCTTCAACTGCTGGTGAAGTTGAACATTTTGCTTATACCCATGAGCACTATTGAATTCTTTTACGGTTCTAGTTCCCTGTGTGGCATTCCAAACACTTAGGTTCCATGAGACATCAGTCTCCTTTTGTCTATTTGTCTTAATCTCTTACATTGGAATAACTTTAGATTTGCACAAAAGTTGCAAAGATATTGCAATGACTTCTTGCAATATGCCTTTCAGCTTCTTTCCCTCACATCAACATCTCACAAAACTATGCTGCATTTTGAGAACTAAGAAATAAACATTGGTACAGTACTATTAACTAAATTACAGACTCTTTTTGGGTTTCAACAGTTTTTCCATTAATGCTGTTTTTCTGTTCCAGGATCCAATCAAAGTTATATTTAGAACACTTATCCTTGTTAGTGAATTTCTCTCTGAAGATCTTCAAATTCTTGCAATCGAATTTCACGTGCTTCAGTCAGCCATGAACATGCAAAGTGCTAAGTGATTTTTAATATTAAGCAGATTTGAGAAAGAACTTCCTGTGGTAATGCTTTCATTATTTTTGTTTTTACTGTCTGTAACACCACTCAGCAAGTATCTGGGATGACACAGAGAAGATTGAGTCTGTATTTGGCTTGTCAGTAGGCTGATTCAGTGTTGTGGGTACAAGATGAGTAATACAATTTTGGAGGTCCCCTCCAAATTTGCACTCTCTTTGGAATAAGAAGAACAGAACTTCAAATACTAGGACGTGTACCAGCTGTAGATGATCCTGGGCAAGTTACTTAAACATTGGCTTTGGGTTCCCCATCTGTAACCTAGCACTTGATTAGGCATTCCAAACTTAACATGCTTAACTAGGAACATTCGACTCCTCCCTTCTCTTCCCTTTGCTCCCAGTTGTTGTCTCTTGTTAGTGAACAGTGTCACCTTTAATCCTCTGGAAGCCCAATAGGTGTCATGTACTCGTTCTTGTTTTCCTCATCTTCCATATCTGTGCCGCCCCATTTCTGCCCAGCTGACATTCCCAATCATTGATACCTCAAATTAATCAATTTCTCTTTGCTTTCACTATTAGAATCCAGTTCATGTGATCCTCACCTCTTTTCTGGATTACTGCAACAGCTTCCTTTTTTTTTTTTTTTTTTTTTTTTTAATTTTTATTTATTTATGATAGTCACATAGAATGAGAGAGAGAGGGGCAGAGACACAGGCAGAGGGAGAAGCAGGCTCCATGCACCAGGAGCCCGACGTGGGATTCGATCCCGGGTCTCCAGGATCGTGCCCTGGGCCAAAGGCAGGCGCTAAACTGCTGCGCCACCCAGGGATCCCTGCAACAGCTTCCTAATTATCCTCTCTGATTCTCATTTTACTCTTATAATTCATTCACCACACTGGACTAGAATATTTAAAAAATGCAAATCATAGCTTGGTTCCACTTTTTTGCTTAAACATTTCCAATAGTTTTGCACTTTGCTTAGAATAAAATCTGATTTCCTTTTTGCTGCCTGAAAAACACTGCAAGATCTGGGTCCTGACTTTCTCCTGACTTTATCTCCTATTATTTTTCCCTCTACTCAGGATGCTCCAGCTACATTGGCTTTTGGTTCATGTCTTGAATAAGTTTCACTTGGTGCAGCCTTCAGGCCTCATGTCCTTGCTATTCTCTTCCCTGGAATATGTTTCTCTTAGGCTATATCAAGGCTGCATTTTTCATATTATTGAAGATCACTTCTATCTTAAGAGGCCCTTCCAATTTGAAATTTTAATGATGTATATTTGCATATTTATTTTCTCTTTGTCCGTCTTCTGCCTTTAAAGTAGAAGCTCCATGAGAGCAGGAATTGTGTCTTTATGTAGGTGTCTCTTTGGTGCTACTACAGTGAGCAGGACCTCACAAGCTTTTGACAAATGTTTGCTGACAGAAATGAAGGATAAAATGATGTCGGTTTACCTAGTTGAGAACTATTCTGCTGAAGTTGAGAGGAAAAAAGGGAGAGAAAATAAGACTTTTAAAAAATATATATAAAATACTTGCCTAATAGATTTCTCATGACATACTTGACCTAAGTTTCTCCTTTATGGCTCATTAATGAGTTCCCTTCTGTGGGGATAGTCACATTTTCCAAGTTCGTATCAAACAAGCAATTGCTAAGTGATTCAGGTCCAGAAAACACTCTTTGTTAATCAGCAATTAGGGAGGAAAAAAGTGTAAGGAGAAAAGTGCATGCTTTTGAGGCTGTGAGTTGTTGGTCATCTCAGGTATTTTGCCCAAAAATATAAACAGAATGATGCAGTCTTTGCATTAGCACATATTCTAGAGAACAGCCATAAAGGAATATATGCTTGTAGTGTTTCACCTAAAATATACTCTTCATTTGGATGATATTCATTTCTTTCCTGGGAAATCTTGTTTATATTCTATTGGTTGTTAACATTTTAATATTGAAATTGAATTCCAGTAGGAATTGAATTCCTACTATGTGAAACTTGATCCCAGGATTCTGGGGTCATGCTCTGAGCAGAAGGCAGATGCTCAACCACTGAGCCACCCAGGTGGCCCTTAAAAGAGGATTTAATACTGTTTCCTACTGCTATCATCTTTCTCAAAAATATCCCCCATACCCACTCCTACACATGCCTATGTGTGCATGAGGGCAAGTTTATGATTTCTAGTGGAAAGGCAGTTTGGGAGTTATGGGTTATAGGCAGAGTTGAGAGTTTTATCTAATGACTTCTGATAATCAAAAAAATGTTATTATCACAGTAGGCATCTTTGATATATTTTTGTTTCCATGAACCCTGTTAGGTTACTAACTGTTTGGATAGCTTAAGATATGGAGACGATGTTGCTGTGGAGACTTCTGAAACTACTGGCCATGAGTCCTTGTTCCAGGCACTGACAGTATTGGGTGAGAAAACAATTATTTTCTGCCCTCATGTAGCTTAAAAAATATAGGAAGAAGTATTTATCACAGAAGCAGATGAACACCTGGACACAATCAGAGACACCTGCTTTGAGGGAACAGCTTGAACTGCTCTCAGAGTGAAAGAATTTAACTTTTTAAGAGGCGGGGTATGGCCAAGTTTGGCAGATGATTTGCTGAGGAAGTTGCCCCAGAGGAGCCAATGGGAGGTATTCGGTAAATGGAGTGTGGAATGGGGTGAGGTGGGCATCAAGGCCTGTGGGAACTGTGGAGAAATTTGGGGGGCAGAGAATAGTGTGTGCAAGATGTTTGGGGAGTGAGGGAAGCATGGGGTAGGATGGCAAAGTGAGCAGACAGGGAGAGAGAGGAAAAGGGAGCTTGTTTTCAAGAAGAACCTGAGAGGCTCAGAGAAATGGTTGAGAGATCCCACTGAGTGCTCAGCCCGGGAAGGTGGAGGTGGAAATGTATGTGCATGTAGTGGGGAAATGGGTCAACACTTTCCAATTTTATTTGAGGTCAGCCTTGCCCTTATGTCCACTAGATTTTTTATTAAATATTCTATACATCCTCCCCAGACACATAACCTGTCTTAATCATGAAAAAAAATCAGACAAAAAAACAAACTGAATGACATTCTAAAAATAACAAATACTACTCACAACTGTGACCCGTCACAACCGCACTTCTCACAGGTCATTGAAAACAAAGGAAGTCTGAGAAACTGTCAGAGCCAAGAGGAGCCTTAAGGGGATATAGCAGATAAATGTAAAAGGATATCCTGGATGGGATCCTGGGACAGGAGGAGGACATTAGGTAAAAACTAAGGAAATCTGAATAAAGTATAGACATTGGTTAATAATAACGTATCAATATTGGTTCATTAGTTGTAGCAGATGTATTATATTAATGTGAAGTTGTGAACAAACATCTTTGCTGCACATTTTGATTTATTAAAGTAAAATTTCTTACTTTAAACCTAGCATAGTGATGGTAAACCATTGTCAGCTCTCTTACTGTGCCAGGCTCTCTTAGACTTTTATTCTCCTCAGATCTTTGCTCTACCTGAATACATTTTTGTCTTCTCTGGGCCACAATAACTCCCACTCATTCTTTAAGGCTCAGCTTTTGTGATACTTCCTCCAGGAAGTTATCTCTGATTTCCTCAGACTGGAGTGGGTTCCCTATTCCCTCATGGCCACTTGTGCCTCATGGATCACAGCACTGGTCACATTGTACTGGGGCTAACGATTTATTGTCTGTAAGCTCCTTATGCACAGAGGCTCATATCTTACTCATGTTTCTATTCCCATTGTCTATCACAATGCCTGCACCTGCCACAAGACACTCTAGAATAGCTTTGCTGAATGAATACCTGAACAAATGTTGCTAATTCTTTTAAGAAAC